TGGTAACATTAGATAATAAGCTTAGCAGTAATTTAGATGTTTTCCTTGATAATTTAGATGTTTTCCTTGATAAAATTTTCCTAGTGAAAAATTAAATATAAACTCCATGTGCATGCCACTAAATAAAAGAAAGCTAGGACTCTTCATGACTCCAAGGTCAAGTAGCACCAGCTAGTTTATGTCCACTTAGCTTGGGTGGATAGATTAGCTTAAGAGCAGATCTGCCTTGGAGAGAGCTAAACTAAAAAGTGAGAGTGTAGGCATCGTGTTCTTGAGTTCCCTCTGTATCTCTCCTCCATGTAGCAGCATAACTACATGCTGAGAGGCCAAGACACTTGCAAAGATGGCCAGGAAAAGAGAAAAAAAGAAAAGAGAAAGGAAAAACATGAGGAAACACTACTTACACAAGCATATTTTTATTTCTGTTTGTGTGATCCTTCAGATAACACTCCTAATTGTTTTGGCATAGCTACATCTTCCTTCTGACACCTTCAAAAGTGAGATCTGTTCAGAGCAGAGAGTTTAACCGTCCGCAAATGATCAGTCTGGGAAAGGGTAGTGGTCCTAGAGGTACAAGGCTTCTTGAGATGTGATGCTGGCTTGACTTCCAGGCAGAAGGAATGAAAGAATAAAGCAAAGGGATTAGGTCTTTCTGCAGCTCCTCTATCCCTTGCTCTGAATGCAGCCCAGAGAAAATTCAGGAGACCTAGCTATTTGTTGGTGCATTCAGTTAGGGCAATGGAAAAAAAAAAAAGTACACAACAGTGATTTCTTGTGTAATGTCTTTAAAAGTCAGTCAACTGTGAAACATAAATGCACTGGGAAGCAAAATCCTTCAGTGCTCTGGTCAATGAAAAAGATCATTTCTTCTGAAGAAGAACACTTGCAGTTCCTGCTATTCCTACTGCAAGCCCAATGACATGACCAGAGCCTGGACACAACAGTGCCAGCAATCTCTACTCTAAGCAGTAGATGACTCATTTGGCAGTGCTCCTGATTAGCATTTCCACTAGAAAATACAGAGAATTAGTAATACGGACCTATGGAAAGCCTGGTAGTCATGAGAGCAAACAGAAGGAGATGACAAGAATGAAGCAAAGACAATAAAGGAAAGGTGAGCAGACATTTTAGAGAGAATAGGAAAACAAACACCCAAAAGTCAGGGTAGAATGAAGAAAAGAGCAAGAAAAGACTAAGTGACTGAACTAAGGACGTAAAATGCAGAAAAATATGGTTATAGGAAAAGAGTAGAGAATAACAGGAGGTCTTGACACTGCTGTGTACACTCCTGTGGAGATTACTGAGAGCATGGGAAAGTGAAATAACTGTTGAGACCAATACCTCATAGAACATTTCAGTACCAGTCCTCTGTATGCTTGTATTTAAGATTCTTCAGTATCACTTCCCAGCAGCTGTGGCCACATCCTCACTGTTGCAGAACAACTTAGAAAGAAAAGTCTGATTCTGAAGAGATAAGCAGGAAAGTGTCACGCTACCATGAAGATTCTATCTGCTGATGCACCAGCACAGTGTCCTATCCTGTCTCTACTTCTGGAGATTCTAACAGATTGGCCATGTTGAGCCATTTCCAGGAAGTGTGAGAAGCCCTTCAAACACATTCAAAAATCCAGCTTGCTTGGATCAGACTGGATTTTTGCTTAAACCACAAATGGAACCAATCTTAATCTGCTCTTCTGAAATGCCCAAAACAGTTAATGGAGAAAAACAGGCAATTAACAGACTATTAGCAAGTGTCCTCCCTCTTCCCCTCCCCCCTTCCCCCCCGCCATGTTCCTGTATTTAGAAATAGTCCTACAATTAGCCCTAGAAAAAGGATATCTCATGTCCTCTGAGGAATTCTTTGAAAGGGATCATTAAGGTAATACTGTTTCTTTGGGGAAAATTAGTCCGAATACCACACAAAGACTGAATAAGGTTCTGGAAGATGTTTACAGCTTATGGAACGAAATTCATAGGTTCAGAGGACCAGAAAGGCTGTGTACTGTTTATTATTAAATTGTTCCTTAAGACATAGAGTCATAGTGTCAAAAATAGCCTTAAGGGGAGAATAAGCAAAGGGGTAATAAGCAGCTGGATTCAACACAGGAACAGTGCATGAAATTATTACAAAAATTAGAATATAATTACATTGATAAACAAGTCTGATTGAAAAATAAAGGCGTTCTCAAATCAGGAGTCACCTTTCTCTGTCATTTATGAGAAATTTGTAAGTATATCCGTTAAAGATAGAAACAAAAGTTGGGAAAATCACCTAAAACATATGACTTACAAAAAGCTTGATGTAATGGTCATATCTCAAAAGTGTGAGTCTTTAACTCAGGCAAATATCTGTCTGCTAATTTTGGATTAGGTATCAGTGAAGCAGATTTAGCACTTTCCCAACTTCTAAAGTGTAATTTTTAGTCGAAGTTCAACTGTGGATCAATTTATTTGTTAGTTCAAAATTGTTACAGACATGGTCCTGTAAGGAAGCGTCAAATTTTGATTATGAAGAATACATACTCATGCTTTATGTCCACAGTAAAGTTCAACAAGTTCTGGATCCAAAAGAAATAAGGAACAAAGAAAGCGCAGTAAAAAATGCATCATGTTTAATAGTGGGATGAAGGAAACTACACGTAAGAAACGGGATTGTTTGCTACACTCAGTTCTCCGTCAAAAGGGGAAAAAGCGAGGAACCACATTAAAAAAGTAAATAAATGAATTTAATTCAGGTTAGTCAGAAACTGATAGAAATATAAAGTTTATGATGGATGCTTCTATTTGGCATGCACAGGAGAATAAAAAAGCAGCTGTATCTAAGGTTATCCATAGTCAAATGGAATGTGGTAAGGCTCATCAGAATTCCAGTATCTAGGGCACTTTTCTGAATGGAAAACTTTCCTAAGCTGGTATGTGGTCAGAAAAGGAAAGAAGAAAAGGTGATAGTAAATAATGCTGGAAGTGACAGAGTCATAGAGTCTTAGAATCATTAAGGTTGTAAAAGATTTTGAAGATCATCCATTCCATCTGTTCACCTAACAACAATATTTCTACATTAAACCATGTCCCTTAGTACAACATCTAAACATTTCTTGAACACTTTGAGGGATGGTAACAATCACTTTGCCTCTAAAAAAAGAATGAGAAGTAACTTAGGGAAATGCTTTTAAGCCATGGTTGTCCAACCTTCAGGTTTACTTTTGTTCACATATACAATATATAATATAGTTAATGTATATGTGTAACAAAACTTCATATATATATATATGAAATTAAAACATAAAAAGGAGAGCAACAAAAAAAATACAACTAGTGTGAAAATTGAGCTTGATTTTGTGAAACACAAATCAAATACATATCACAAAACTCATTAGGAATCTATCTAAAATTATTTTATATTTTTGTGAGCTTTTTGAGAAGTTGGATATTTCTTCCTCAGTGAATGAGTGATGTTATGAAGTAACACAAGTCCAAGTTTAATAAGAAATTAGAAAATTTACATAGGCACTTAGTAACAAAAAAAACAACCATATACCTCCACAGACATACATATGTGTAGGTGGGTTGAAATATTGTTGACAATCATTGCATCTTACTCACCAAGCAACACAAACACGTGTACAGTGTAATGCATGAGACATCAATTCAGCTTAATGTGTGTGAAGGGCACAAGAGGTGTAACTAGCACTGCACTGCATGTCTCTCCACAGCATTCCATTGTTGCCTACACAGTTGGCACTTGAGCTAAGCTCAATGAATTCATGAAAAATGTTATTAAAAATCACACAATAGTAATAAATCTTATAATTTTGTGGGACCATGCTACTAGCTGCCCAGGGCTGCGTGTGGCCCATGGGCTGTGGGGTGGACAAGTCTGTTTCAAACATTCTGTGAATGTTTTGCTATATGAACATTTGAAATCAGCCTCAAACTCTTTTTAAGCAAAACCGTACACTTGCCAGTGCTAAAAAAAGTAGGTCAATATTTAATTCCTGCTAAGACCTGGCAGATATTGAGATTTTTTTCCTCCTGCTTTGCGTGAACAAGTCAGAGCTCATGGTGTTTTCCATGCACAGCTAAGATACTAACAGGAAGAGAAACAAGCTTTAAACTTGGTGCTGATGCTTGGTTTGACAGCGCACTCCTGGAGAAGTGAGTCACCCACAGCCTGACAGAGCAGAAAACCAAACTGCCCACTTCTGAAAAGATGCCTTCACCAAAGAATTGAAAGCCAAACTAGATGATCATTCTGCAGCAGAAAATGGAGCACCACATAACATGGCAGTGCCACAGGCTGTTAAGGGAGGTAGTAGAGTCACCGTGCCTGTAGGTGTTCAAGAACCATGTGGATGTGGCACTGAGGGACATGATCACTGGGCATGGTGGCGGTGGATTGGGGTTGGACTTGATGATCTGAGAAGTCTTTCCAACCTTAATCCTTCATTCTATATTATCCTGGAGATGTTCAGGAAATGTATGGATGTAGCACTGAGGGGTGTGGTTAGTAAGCATTGTGGGAATGAGGCAATGGATCGAGATGATCTTAGAGGTCTTTTTCAGTCTTAACAATTCTGTGACTCTTTGATTCTCTTGTAAAATTGGCAGGGCTGTTCACAGGATCAGAAAGCAAGAACACTTAGCTTTTTGATGGTTAGGACATATCAGAAAGGATATAAAGAACAGTAATCCTAAGTCATGGTCCCTGCACTGTCAATGAATGGATGTATAGTAACGAGAGTTAGTGGCCTCTCCATCTCAAAATGCTGTCTTGCAGTAGATAATAGTATAATAGTGAACTTACTCAGATCTTTTAAAGAATAGGTGTTTACCAGAAATCCGGAAGCACAGCTCAGCTTTTCTGAAGAATATGTTCCAGGGGTGAATTAAACAGCTTTTTTTGCTCTTGTCATGAGAAAATGAAGATTTGGAGCAGAAAAAATGCACTTTGATGTAATTTTCTTTTGTTTAAATTTTTTATTTTCTTTTTGCCCCTGAAGGCTTCATTGTATCTTTACAGAAAAGAAAAGATGTTTCGCGCTCTTGGGCTCACATGCATGATTTGTTGGTGCATGATGCTATTTTGTCCTTTGCATGCTGACCTGCAGTGTATGGGGTGTAAGTATATTTTTATATAGTCCGAGGAACTCCTCATGATGAGGAATAATAATTCCTCCTAACAAAAATAATAATTCCTCCTAATAATGAGGAATTCCTCATTATTAGAGTTATTTGAAATTAAGCTGGTAATAGTGATTTTAGGCCTGAAATATACTATACTCTCTATTTAACAATAGCAGCATCATATTCTAATTTGAACTTATCCTGTAACCATTTCAGCAGGGACACAAGAATTGCCTATCTCAAACTTGACATTGAACAGGAGAAGAATGGAGCTGTCCTGGCAAAGCAGCAAGAACTTCTCCAGTTACAAGTGTACCATGGCTGCAAACTTCAAACTCAGAGAAATGAAGGTAAACATTCTGTTCATTGAGATAATTTACTGCACATTTTCTGTTTACCTCTTACAGATTTCATTTACCTTGAAAAAAAATTGCATCAGTTGGCTTTAAAATCTGTGACTGTTTGCAGTCTACATCTTGATCTATGAAAAGCTATTGCTGATGCTAGGGTGTATTTGATGTGAAAGAAGCTTCCCAAAAGAAGCACAGAAGCGAGGTTCAGTCACCCAAGAGAAAGGGAGGTGATAGCCTGAACTGCAGCTGTGCTGAAGCATGAATGGGAATGTAGCTGCTCTTTGTCTCAGGTGTGAGACAAAGAGAGATACCTGCAGAATTTAGAGGGACACAGATCCTTCAGCTGAAAAGTGAATATTCCAAATGATGTAATGGATTTTCAATGTCTCAAATTCTTCACCTATTTCTCTGTGAACAAGCCTCTAGGACACATTTTGTTATAAGCTTATGCTATCCTAACAGAAAAGTTGAGGAGATTGTTGCAGAGAGGAGGAGACAGAGAGACAGCTTATTTAGAACAGCAAAGCAGAAGCTTAATTGGAAATATGTACTGCAATAATACACCATGCTGTCACTGAAGATTTTAAATTTAATGCCATAGATATCTTTCTTAACCCCGTGGAGATCAGATGAAGATTTTTGTTTAACCAGGATCCTCTGATTTAATTTCATTTTGGTTCTCCTGTTGATTCAGCGTCTTCTCTTACGTCTTTGGGTTAATATTAGCCTTCCTTAATTGTCGTATGATGGTATAGAAATCTCTTTGTGTAGTTGTGCTTTCAATTACTCAGTTTCATTCTAGATTATCCTCAATTTGTAAAGAAGAGCATAAAACAGCCACAGGCATTTGAGGCATTGGAACAGGCTGCCCAGGGAGGTGGTGGAATCACTGTCCCTGGAGGTGTTGAAGAACCGTGTGGATGTGGCACTGAGGGATGTGGTCAGTGAGCATGGTGGGGATGGGTTGGGGTTGGGCTTGATGATGTAAGGAGTCGTTCCAAACTTGATCATTCTATGATTCTACATAAACACACTAAATTTTGGCCATTGGAGTTATTGCTGACTGGTCCTTTCAGATCCAGCACTATCTAAAACGGCAGAGGAAAATCAGAGAAGCAAAATATGTACATGTTATTTTTTAGGTGAAGAACAAATCATGCAGGTTTGAAGTAGAAGATAGTGTGCCTCTGTACAGAGGAGCAGCCTTCACCATTACAGTACCAAAGACAAACATCTCAAAAATTTGTCCATTTTTCCCTGAAGGTAATGCTTGTGGTTTTCTCCTTTTACAATCTTTTGAAGGTAAATAATACCATAGGAAACGGTTTCTTAAACAGTAGTTAAATATTATTTTTCTATTTGAAATATTTGTCTTTTTAAGTCTGTTGAAGCCATTTGTTCTCTAACTGACCATTCTGCAGTTCTGCAATAGAGGTGTTACAAAAAATGTATCAATAACTGTGTTATTCCTTTTCTTGCTAGGGCTCCAAAATGCTGTTAACTTACAGTGGTTTCAGGGTGATTCAAGTAATTGTTCTGGCAAAGACACTAGTACTTCTGCAGCCGCATGTAGCTGGGTTATTTCAGACTTGGAAAAAATGATAAGATTAAGTAGTTCATCTTTTCTTAGGGATTCCACAAAGGAGACTTTTTCACAGTGTCCTAAAAAATACAACCCAGGGCACTGCCTTTCAAATACTCCTCCCCATCTGGATCTCAGGTCCAGGCATGCAGGTTTTCCAAGGGGACTCCCATGTTTCTCAGGTGCCTTCACCTGAGGGAAGAGAAGGGAGGAGAGGAGAGGAGAGGAGAGGAGAGGAGAGGAGAGGATACTTTGGAAAGGACCCACAAAAATCAAATTCCACTCTCTGACTACTTTACGTCTAACTCTCAGCCTCTCCTCATAGGACATGCCGTTAGCCTTCTTAGCTTTGGTGCCCTCCTCTGGGCACTTCCAAGTTTGTGAAAGTCCATGTTATGTTGTGGAGCCCAGAAATGCATGCAGAGTTTGAGATGAGGCCACACCAGTGCTAAATAGAGGGGGATAATCACCTCTTTTGACCAGCTGGCCATGCTGTGTTTAATGTACCTTACAGTGCAGTTTGCCCTCTTGGCTGCCAGAGTATGCTGCTGGCACATGCTGAGATGCTGTCACCAGAACCCACAAGTCCCTCCCTGCTGAGCTGCCCTCCAGCCACTCCTTTCCCAGTCTGCGCCTGTGTCTGGCATTGCTCTGTGTCAGATGCAGCGCACAGCATTTGCCTTTACTGAACTTCATGCCAGTGATGATTGGCCAACACTCCAATGTGTCTAGACCCCCCTGCATGGCCTTTTGTCCTCCAGGAAGTCAGCAGCGCCTCACAGTTCAGTATTGTGAGCAAATCTGCTGAGGAGACTTTCCACTCCAGCTTCCAGAACATTGATATAAAAGTTGAACAGAAATGTCCCTAGAATTGAGGGACCACTGCCAATGAATGGCTGTCAGCCAGAGATAGTCCATTCACTACAACCATTTGAACTCTGCTGTTGATCCAGTACAACTCCTAGTTTAGTATGAACTTGTTTGCCTCAGGGTTGGACAACTAGTTCAAAATGATGTCATGAGGGACAGTACCAAAAGCCTTACCGAAACCCAGAAAAGTTGTCTGCTGCCATGATTCTCCAGCATGGAGCAGTCCACACGTTTTTTCCTCATAATGGACATTGCTGTGTTTGCAGGCATTAATGGGTCAGCCATTGAGAACTTCTCCTGTGTGATTTATGACATTTCCCTCATGAACTGCACTTGGCAGGCAGGCAGGAATGCTCCAGGAGATACACAATATTTTCTCTACTGGCAGAACTCGAGGTGAGTAGGTCTTCTTGAGTCTTGGGTAGTCCGAATTCTCAACACATCACTATGCCTACATTTAACTAAAACTCCTTGTTATATATCCATTATGTTACCTATAGAGATGATGACCAGACAGAATGTGAACTTTACATTAAAGATGAAAATGACAGAAACGTGGGATGTAAATTCCAAAATGTGACAATTAAAGATAAAACTACTTATTTCCTGGTAAATGGATCCCACAAAGCCTTCCTGATCCAGTTTTATGATAATTATACAAAACTATACACAATTGGTAAGTAGGCACTTTTATTATTGCTAACTCAAAAGGAAAACAAACAAACAAACAAAGCCAGGAATTTTTCTCTGAAGGAAAAAAAAGAAAGAGAATAAAACAACTGAGTGCAGCTGTTATAGGACTCAATACAGTAGTACAAACTTGATTTCAGTTAGCTGAAAAGATAGCTGAAATTAACTAAAATGAGCAAAGGCAGAGTGTCTGAAGTAACAGCTTGGGGAACAGTGTGAATAATTCCTTAGGACTGAAGAGGTGAGAAACAACTGTGAAAAATGTTCTGAGGGCAGCTTTCCTGTGGGCTTATTTCTCCACCTCAGCAATTCCAAATCTCTATGAGAACCGCAAGGACATGGTGCCTTAAACCAGAGGGAGGATTCAACTGGAAAATTAAGACTGTATTAACTAAATAAGTGAGTACCCACAAGTTTAAGTTCTGATAGAGATTTCGGGCAGGATCCAGTTGCCTAAAACCTTGCCTCTAGTGCCATTTGAAACACCTTCAGACATCCAGAAGTTTTGTAGATGTAGGTCAGATGTTCAATAGTTGTAGCATCTTAGTCTCTAGTCTTCATACTGTGTTTTACCTACTGTATTTAGCAGATAGATAACATTTCCTTCTACCATCAGCATACAGCTGAACTAGTTGCCTCAGCTTCACGTACATTTTGCTAGGAACATGTGAGTTGTAGCTGATTATTGATCGTGAATTTCATTTCATTCCAGAAAGACTCCCTCCTCCACTGAACGTCACTGCCAACTGTACTAGCAATCCAGGAGGTTGCATAATTACATGGCAACAACCCCTTCTAAGTCATGTGGAAAACGCAGACTGTTTTGAGTATGAAATAAACATACAAACTAAGGTAAAAACAATGTACTGGCTTGCATTTGGCACCATATCTAGCTAAAGAACATACAAATTTCTGTTCTCGGTTTATTGACTTCTATCTGATAAGCTGTGGCATGTTCTACTGCTCCAGTCTTGCAGCTTACACTGCTTCTGACTTTTTTTCAAACTAATATATCATAGAATAAGAGAATCGCAGATTCATAGAATGCTTTGGGTTGGAACGGACCTCTAAAATGACGTAGTTCCAACCTCCCTTCTGTGGGCTGCTACTCACTAAATCAGGCACTGGGTGAGTGGAGGTACCAGGGATACCCACATGGTGACAGAAGGTAAGACACATTCTGGAGGGGCCATCTGAGGCCAGGCAAAATACTATGCAGCAGCTGTAAGGGGCACTACAAGGCTAAGTGAAGGCAGCTCAGTAACACCCTCCTTGTCTACAGCAGACCGATGATTTCCATCCATGTCCTAGATCGAGAAAGCTCATCTGACAATGAATAATGGGGAAATACTAATCTTTATAATGCATTATACACAACAGGTTTATTTTCTGAAATGAGACATTCCTTCCAATAACATTTTCCTTTTTCATAATGCCAGCTGTCCCACTGACATTACATGTAAATGTTTCCTGGATACCATCTTTTCTGGAATCCTTACCGCAACCACTGCTGGTGATAGTGCTTGCTAATTTTTACATCTATGCATTTCATATTAAATATTTCAAAATGTTAGGGTTCTTCAGTCCACATTAATACTTTTTTTTTTCTTGTTAATTAAATTTTGATTGCACTGAATGTGTAAGTAAATATTCACAGTGATTTTGAATATGAATCACTCTGATGACAAGGTGGCGGTTGGACTCTTCTCCCAGTTGACTAGTGACAGGACAAGAGGGCATAGCACGAAGTTGTGCCAGGGGAGGTTCAGTTTGGATATTAGAAAAAATTTCTTCTCCAAAAGAGTGGTCAGCTGCTGGAATAGGCTGTCCAGGGAGGTGGTTGTGTCACTGGAGATGTTCAAGGAATGTTTAGATCAAAAAATCATGAAGCCATCAGAATGGCTTTGGGTTGGAAGGGACCCCAAGGGTCATCAATTTGCAACCCCCCTGCCATAGGCAGGGCCACCATCTTCCATGTCTAATACTAGACCAGGTTGCTCAGGGCTCCATCCAACCTTGTCATGAACACCTCCGTGGACAGAGCATCCACAACCTCTCTGGGCAGCCTGTTCTAGGACCTCATCACTCTCTCTGTAAAGGACTTCCCCCTGACAGCCAATCTAAGTCTTCCCTCCTTAAGCTTGAAACCATTCCCTCTTGTCCTTTCACTATCTACCCTAGTAAAAAAAGTTGATTCCACTCCTTTATACAAGCTCCTTTTAAATACTGGAGGGCAGCAATGAGGTCTTATCATAGCCTTCTCTTCTCCAGGCTGAACAAGCCCAGATTCCTCAGCCTGCCTTCATAGGGAAGGTGATCCAGCCCTCTGGACCCTCTCCAACAGCTCCACATCTTTCCTGTAGTAGGAGCCTGAGACCTGGACACAGTACTCCAGATGAGGTCTCATGAGGGCAGAATAGAGAAGGACAATCACCTCCTTATCCCTGCTATCCACTCCTCTTCTGATGGAGCCCCAGATACCACTGGCCTCCCTAGCTGCAAGAGCACACTGCTGGCTCATGTTCAGTTTTTCATCCATTAGAACCCCCAGGTCCTTCTCTGCAGGACTACTTTCAAGGAGTTCTTCTCCCAGTCCATGTACATATCTGGGATTACTCCAACCAAGAGCAAAACCTTGCACTTTGCTATGTTGAACCTCATTAGGTTCACACAGACCCACCTTTCAAGTTTGTCAAGGTCCCTCTGAATGGTATCCCTTCCTTATAACATGTCAATCAAACCACTCAGCTTGGTTCCATTGGCAAACTTGTGGAGGGTGCACTCAAGCTCATTATTGATGTCATTGATGAAGATGTGGAAGAGCACCAGTCCCAAGACAGACCCCTGGGGGACACTACTTGTCACTGGCCTCCACTTGGACATAGTGCTATTCACCACAACCCTCTGGTTGTGACCATCCATCCAATTCCTTATCCACTGAAAAGTCTACCCCTCAAATCCATATCTCTCCAATTTATAGATAAGTATGTGGTGTGGGACCATGTCAAAGGCCTTGCATAACTCCATGTAAATGACATCAGTCACCTTCCCTTTGTCCACCAAGGCCATTATTCCATCATAGAAGGCCACCAGATTGGGCAGGCATCACCTTCCCTAGGTAAAGCCGTGCTGTCTGTCTTGGATCATCTTCTTATCCCTCATGTGCCTTCTATGTTGTACTAAAGGACATGGTTTAGTGGGGAAATATTGGTCATAGATGGATGGTTGGAGTGGATGATCTCTGAGATCTTTTCCAACGTTAATATTTTATGTCCATCAGAGTTCAATTGGAAGGAAAATAAATCTGTGGTTCATATCAGTTTTGTGCTCTGTGTTATCAACCAATTGCAAAGTTATAGCCTCCAGAACTGCTTCTTTAGAGGATTTTTTTTTTTCTTAGATAATTCAGATATACACCGGCTGGATGGGAGTGTGCATTGTATAGAAGCACATACAGCTCACAGCCACTGACATCATTAATTTTCTTCCTTTCCTAAAATCACAGAATCACAAGATGGCCAGGTTTGGAAGGGACTTCAAGGATCATGAATCGCCAGCTCCTTTGCCACATGCAGAGCCACCAATCTCCCCATTTAATACTAACCAGGCTGCCCAGAGCCCCATCCAATCTGGCCTTGAACACCTCCAGGGATGGGGCATCCACAACCTCTCTGGGCAGCCTGTTCCAGCGCTTCACCAAAATGAAACAGAGGAAGACAAAACTCTGAATAAAGTGCTATATTTTGGGATGTTACTGGGGTTGAATCTCCATTTGTATTTCACTTTGAAATTATAAGCAAAAAACAGGGAAAAACAGAGGGAGAAATATATGATTATTTGGCAAGAAAAAAACAACAACAAAAAATTGAGTTTGTCTTTGCTTTGCAGTACAAGATCCCAGAAGAGAAAAAGGATCCTCCTGTAATCGTAAGTATTCTTATCCCAACAAATTTGTACTTTTGCCCTGTTTATCATGTAAACACTGTAATATAGAATATAGATGTCCCTGGAACTGTAGCTTTTTCATCAACATAAGAAATTAGGAATATATTTTCCCATGGCAGCATCGTGTAAGCTTTGAGATCTTCAAAACGAGTGAAACCCTTGCAAATGGGCAGTTCTCGGCCTTGCAAGCATCCTCAACTGCCTCCAGGCTTTGCATTAAGCACCACAAGGCCTGGCAATCCATTCTTGGTGTTGGATTGTCTCAAAAGCATCAATTCCATTTGACAAGAAGAGACTCTATTTGGAGAAGTCTTTGCATGATTTGCTTATCCAGTTTCAGCTTTCTGTCCTGTTTTATATTTTTTAGGATATATACTTGACAAAGAAAACAAGATATCCTTAACAGAATAAATTTAAGCACCAACAAATTCCAAAAAACATCTTTAAATTCCAAAACAGTCAATGGTAGGATGAACTAATGGGTACCAGGGTTTGAAATTTGGGGGAAAGATCATCTAACCCTTTACCTGCAAAGTCATAAAAATAAGTTGCATTTACAGAACCTGTATCAGGAAATTATAACTCAAATTTTATTAATAGTTGCCGATGGAGTGAAATACAGCTTCTAACTCTGATCGCAGGTAACTGAAAACAAATACGAATTCAAAAGTTACAAAGGAAAAAAAAGCATTCTGAAAATCAGAGCACGTGGAAAAAGAAGATGTTCTGTAAACAGAAAGTGGGGGGAATGGAGTAACCCTATGGAGTTCGGTAAGACTGAAATATTCTTGTAATCTAGGATGGGTTTGGGGATTTTTTCTGTATTAATGTGTTTGCAAACTCTTCTCTCTCACACTCATGGATAAGAATAAAACCTTAATTCTCATTCGGTGACATGGAAAGAGCAGGATAGAAATTATTAATGTTGATGAAGTGCTCAAATCCTATGGCAACAGATGCTGGAAGCCCATGAGTAACTGTGCTTCTGATGGCAGCTGTGACTGAGACAGCAGCTGTGACTGAAACAGCAGGAGCACAGAAAGCAGCTGAGGTGTACCCAAACTGTTTTCCGTCAGAAGTTCTGAAAGTCCCCTTAAATCTTCAAATTCATAGAATCACAGAATGGTCTGAGTTGAAAAGAACCACAGTGATCATGTAGTTTCAACCCCCTGCTATGTGCAGGGTTGCCAACCACCAGACCAGGCTGCCCAGAGCCACATCCAGCCTGGCCTTGAATGCTTCCAGGGATGGGGCATCCACAGCCTCCTTAGGCAACCTGTTCAGTGCTTCAGTGCGTGCTCAAATTCCTCTCCTTCCTTCTGAATCTTCCTACTCCCTGCTTCTTTGACATTCCTTTAACAGTCCCACCTATATCCCGACTTTTCATTCTGGTTCTCCTCACTGTCCGGATTTTTTATTTTTCTCTGCACTTTAAATGTTCAGAATGTTCCAAGGTACATTAAATACATCTGAACTTTTGATCAAAGATCTGTAAGATACCAAATGGAAATCCTTTGGATGACTCAAGAAGTTCAGGTGTAATCGGAGCTAACACTTTCTGGCAGACCACTGACATTTCTCTCTGATATGTTTCAGGTGAAGAGAAAGATTATTTTATTTATGTGATTTTAGTTCTGATAGCACTCGGAACAATCCTAGTGACGCTGCTCCATTACTGCCTTTGCAAGAGGTAAACCAACCTTCTTAACATAGGAATTATGATGAAACATCCCTCCTACCTGCACAACCTTGAAGAATCTCATCAATCTATCTGATCAATGTAATTCAAGATCACCAGCAGTATGGTTTTGGATGGCAGTATGGCACACTATGGGGGGACAAATTGTTAGACTTAGTGAATCGTTCCACCAGATCCTAAAGAAAAACATTTTTTGTCTTTATTTCAAAGCATTTCACAGTATTTTAAAATCACTGACTTCACACAGCACCAGACAACAGGGAATTGAGACAGATGAATGCGTCCTTACTTTGATCAAACTTCTTTAGTGGTAGAGGATATTTGTGTCAAGTGGGTTATTTTAAGTCTTGTTTAATAAATCATTTACTGTAGCTTCAGTCACAAAGTAAGCTGAGTTACCCAATGGAGCAGTGTAAAAACAGTTAATCCTCAGTCAACATTCAAAGCCTTTTCCTTCTTCTCACTTAGCGATCTATTAGGCATTAAATCGCACTCTTAAGGTTCAACACAAAATTTACTGTTGTGCCACTAGCATTTTATTTACCATCCCATTTTCTATCCAAAGGTATTGCAGTTCAAAAAGAATATTTCCTCCTATCCCACAACCAAGAAGCAAATTTGATATGCCAGCTGAGGAAGATATCCAGGTATGTACATCTGTTCAATCATATTGGCTAACTGTAACCTACCATAAGCTGCAGGCATGAAGAAATGCTGTGTAAATATGAGACCCATATCAGGTCCATTAAAAACTGATTTGGCCCTTTGCAAAGTTTGTGTCCTACATGACTGCTGAGTATAGCAGTTATCTTCTGTATATTCACAACCATATTTTACAATTAAAAATGATTGAGACTGGTAATTTTTGGAGAAGAGAATGCTCTGGGGAGACCTCATTGTGGCTTTCCAATACTTGAAAGGAGACAATGAACAGGAGGGGGAATGACTGTCTACTTGGGTGGATAGCGATAGGACAAGGGGAAATGCCTTTAAACTAAGACAGTGGAGGTTTAGGTTAGGCATTAGGAGGATGTTTTTCACAGAGATTAATGACACACTGGAACAGGCTGCCCAAGGAGGCTGTGGATGCCCCATCTCTGGAGGCATTCAAGGCCAGGCTGGATGTGGCTCTGGGCAGCCTGGTCGGGTGGTTGGCAACCCTGCACATAGCAGGGGGTTGAAACTAGGTGATCATTGTGGTCCTTTTCAACCCAGGCCATTCTGTGTTTCTATGATTCTATGATGCACAAAGCAGGTGGATGTGGTTCTTGAACTGTTGCATGGGCACAGTTGCAGGCAGCAGCTAACCAGCAATAACTGCCAGAGTTCAAGATAACTTCAATTTCACAAACACCGAGGCTGTGAAGATCATTTTCAGCTCTCTTACCTGTCTGACTCTCCTTTGTCTAATTTAGTCTTAAAAATGAATTTTATCTCCTTTCTCAGACACAATTTATACTTGACTATTGTAATTCTTCAAAATGGATCAAGTTCGAATGTGTTATCCAAGGAGTTTCTTCCCTGAATAACAGGGCTATCTCTTCCTACTACTTAAATCCAACACATTTATGAACTATCTTGAACTATACACATCCCTTTGCTGATTCTGCTTTCTGAAGCTTACATTTCATCATCTTGTCCCCACTTGCTCTCACGACCTTTCACATTTACTGTTTGTCCCGTTTCTCAAGAACTTATTCCTGATCGCTGAAAGATCTCATGATTTATAACCCTAAATGCACTGTACTGAGTTCACAGTTGCTTCTTTAAAGCTTATGTTAAAAATACCACCTGCTTTCCTTTTCAGATTTGGGTCAGATCCTACCAACCAACTCAGTTCATTAGAGAATTTGTATTCCTACAATCATCCCACTTTATTTCAGTGTTCTTCCTTTAATTTTTGGTCATCTTGCCCATCCCTTTCTTTGCAAACATTTCTTACGTATCAAAATAGCAAGACCAGGGTGCCTTCGGAACTGTGTATGTAATATTTTTTAATGCTCTCTGTGAACACCAACAAGTAACCTGTAGTTTATCGTATGTTAATGGCTATTCTTTCTCCCCTCTTCTCAGACAGAGAATGCGCTTCTATCTCAAATAAGTTGTACTGAGGAAATAACTGTGATTGAGGAGATGACCTAATCTTCCAGAAAGAAAAGATTTGGATGCAACACAAAAATTACACAACCTCCTAATAATTTCCAATTATTTACGGTGTTCTTCACAGCATGGACTAGAAATGAGTATCACCTATGAAACCATTTCACCACATTAAAAAAACAAAACAAAAAAACACACACAAAAATGCTTCTTTTCCCTTTGTTCAGAAGCAATGCCTGGCAACCAAGCTCCTCCAAAAACACGTGCTATGAAGATTTGCTTGAAAGTTGCTGAGGTTCTCTTCACCATCTAAGACAAAGCCTTTCATCAACAATATAGCAGAAACGAGGTATAATTTCTTCTGTTCGTTGCTGGAGAAATTATTTCCTGAATTAAGAGTAGTGCTACAGGAAATCAAAATGCTATTTCCCCAACTTAACATTTTATATATATACTCCCAAGAATTCTCTGGAGCAGAAAGTAGCTAAAAGTTGCCCTTCTACCTTGTAACTCTGATACCAAACAAAATATTCAGTGAACTTTATGGCAAAATAAATAAATAAATAAATAAATAAATAAAATAAAATAAAATCTTGCTAAAAATAACTAAGATGGGCTGCCAGTCAGTCGTGTAATGAGCTCAGCATCTCCAACAGCAATGTGAATCTCTGCAATACCAATAAGAACTTCAGTGGCACAGCTACAGACTTCAATAAATCCAGCGTAACAATCACAAGATTTGGAATCAAATCTGTAAAACTAGGTTTTAAATAGTTCATCACACCAGTCTACGTCCTACCAAGTGTGCAGATCTTGTTTCCAAATCTATTGAAAATATAGTATTTTCTGTTAAACAAATTCAAAATCTTTTCCTGCTGAAAATATTTTCCAAAAGATCCACATTTCCCCAATTAAGTGCTTCAATAAGGCAGAAAACAAATGCTTTTTTTAAAAGTCTCATTTATTGTTTGCCTCTTATGTTCCCACACTGCATAATCACATTGCAAAATGCTGCTGGATGACTAAGGGAACCAACATACTAGAAAAATAAACACCAAGCAGTACATGCTGTAAAGCACAGCAGAGGTAAGTTGCATTTCCACTTAAATAACAACCCACACTTGCATTGATTTATTTGCTTGCTTCTCCTGATTAACACCTAATTTTGTTGGAGGAGGGGCGGTGGACAAAAAAAGAAATCTGCCCTTTTCAAGGGCTGCTAGTTAATTGTCATGCTTGCTTCTTCCTCACAAAGTTCGGCCACCATGCACTCACAGTAAGGTTATGTGAGGGACTCTATCGTTATATACCTACCTTTTAAGCCACTGATGTAGAAAATAAACCTATGAAATATATCTATATAGGCAGATTATTCCTCTGTCCCTTCAGATCAATAGAATTACAATTGAAACAGCAGCTTAATTGGAAACTTCAGCATCAAGTGACCTGTCCACACCACGAGAGAGCTACCATTACCAAACAGGGTTAAAAACAAACAAACAAAAAAAACCCACTTGCAGTATGTACATAAAATTTGCCATTAGCCTGTGTACAAAGTAGTTGTGTAATGTACTTACATTCATAGAAAGATGCTAAAAGCAGTGCTTGTGCCATGGAACATCACATTGGTACAAACTACCAGCCAAAGCCATGTTGCAAATTTAAATATTGTCTTGAATAGCAACCTCAGAAGGCACACAAAAAAACCTGATAGCTCAGTCAGCCTTCAGTGACTCATTACAATGACATTTTCACAAATACAGGAGAGTTGTAAGAATGTACTGAAAGATGAACACCTTGTTCTCATTTACTGGTCCCCCATCACATCTTTGCAGATTACAAAGTACAAAAGTAAGATTATGTACATATAAAGAGCACAGATTTAGTTTCTCATTTCTGCTTTTTGAGATGTTTTTAGTCTTCAAGCGACCCTTAAAATTGGACATTCAGTCAATATTGAAGGCTGACTTACTTTTACCTTTATTTTACAGCCACACAGAACCACGCATATTCCGTTACATACCCATATCGACTTCACCTTTCAGAATGAATTTCAGATTAAATTCTTTTTTTCAAAGCTACTTCTAGCCACTTCTAGAGATAAAAGCTTAAGTGGCATAATCAACACTTCCAAATAGCAGCAACAATACTCATTCAGAGGTTAAAAGCATTTAACCAGGTTCCTGGTTTTTTGCATGAACATCATGTGTTGCTTCCTATATTGATTTAAAAAAATAGATTCCATTTTAAGACTTTTGCCAGGAGCAAAAAGCATTCATTACTTTTTGATTGCGCTTGGAACTTTGGGTAATTTAAGTACAACAGAAAAACCCTCGTTTTACATCACATGCAAAGCTGCAAATCAATTTCTAACAATCATGCTGAAAGCCACTTGCAGCAGCCCATCATACACTATTAGGCACAAAGAAGGGGAGTGGTTTCTATAAGTACAACCCATGCTTTTTTCCCTCAAGGTTCTCACATTCAGGTTTTCCTAAAACAAAAAATCAAACATCCTGTTACAGTGCAGCGTAAGTGTATCAGAGGAACCATTATCTGAAACAAGTTTTCAAAGAAACGACGCTTTCCCAAAGCTTTGATGTAATAATTTCAACACAGACAGAATAAGTATGTTTATTGTTTTACAGCAGAATGCCCCAATTTAAGAACATAATTGCTAGATGTTCAGCTGTGCAAAATGGTACATAGTGCTTCAGTACAAGTGGAAAAGAACATGATTTGTTAGCAAGTATTTTCAAATACAATTTTATGGTCCTAAAAGATAGGACTTGAAACTGAGGACTGATCCACAGGCATACTTTCTGCCTAAATTGGACCCAGCTACTTTGGACCCAGAACCACTGTCACTGATTTTTCATCTCTGAAAAAATCATCACACTGAACTGCCAGATTCAGTGTCTTCATGCAGGTTACCGTGAAATGGATCAGTCCTCTATGTCAGTTTCCAGCCCTATCTACAAGTATCAGCTGGCTCCGATAAATAAAACTCACAGGAATTTCTTGAAGGTCAATGGTCCATAATGGTAGTTAATCTACATGATCTGCTCAACTTGATTTCCAATTTTAGTTAGGCTGTTTAAATGACTTTCTTGAATTCATCATACAGCACGAGCACGAAAGCACCCCCCATGCCTCTGAGAACATTAGACCATGCACCCTTGAAGAACGCCTTTCCTCCCTCATCCCTTGCAATCTTCCGCCAGCAGTCAATCGTTCCAGAGTACATGATATCAGCTGTAGAGAAAGAGCAAAGAGGGGTTTTTTAACTTCTGTATTTCAGGTGACTCTAAAAATAGCTGTTCTGCTTCCCACAGTATGCCCCATATCTCGCTTTAACGCACTACCAGTTCAGGCAACAGAAAAAAAATCTTCCTGCTTGCCTACCTAGTTATTAAAAGTTATGCCATAAAATAAGAGTGTTAATTGCTCTTATGACAATTACACTGTCAACTACTTGCTTACACTTAGTTTGTCAACACAAACAACCAATCCATTTACCCAATTTATTAACCCCCCCCCCCCCCCCCCAAAAAAAAAACCAACCTCATCATAGTTCTTCACAAACACAAGTCAGAAGCCTTATACTACTTGAATTGCCTCCTACTACTAGAACATACGAACAGTTGAATCAGATTTACATGGTAAGAAATCATAAGCACTAAGGGATCACCATTAGCAGCACTTAAATATTGATATGGTAACAGCCTACCTCCTTTGCGTCCTGACTGCATCATCATCCTACGCCGCACTGTGTCAAAAGGATAGGAAACCACACCAGCCACAGCAGTCACTGTCTGTGCAATCATCCAGCTGATAACAATGTGAGTATTTCTGGGATCTGGCAGCATGCCTGCAAAAAAGAAGCTCATTAGCTTTTTAGCTTGCAAATGCTCCTTCAGTTCACAGCACAACAGCTACTTTACCACAAAAAACTACCATGAAGCACTGTAAAGCAATGCTTTAAGCTGCAACAAGACACTTAAAACACATTAAGCATACTGAAGCAACAGAGAAATAAATAAGGAAACACACAGCATTTCCTTGTCAGTAATCAAAATGTGTAACATTTAGGTACCAAGATCCTTTCAGACAAGTGTTCTAATTATTCTCAACTTATCTATATGAGTAAACATCATCAAATACATCAGTACCTACAGTTCAGAGATCAATTAACTCTACATCCAGAAGCCAAGCTTAACAAACAAATGCTTTACAGAAGAACAGCTCAAATTCTGATAAATACATTTGAATTGTTCTAACAGAACTACAAATACTCAGCAAGAAATCACAAACTTTGAGTATTTGCATACTGTCACCAAAACACATTACTTCCATTAGGAAAAAGTGCCGTGTTCTAAAGGCAAGCGTAACAGGAAAATTCTAAAGCAGCCTGATCCATCAATGCATGCTGAAACTTTGCCTTTGAAGTGTTGCTCTCCGTGCAATGTCACCCCTCTTCCACCACACTTACATAAGTATATAAGTCAAAAACAGAAAACAGCACAGAAAAACCGGCAGAAGCAGGCAACACAGTTCTACAAACAAGTTTATCAATACCCTCCTGAAACTTTACCTTTTGCTGTATCATAGATTCCAAAGTAGGCAGCTCTATAGATGATGATGCCCTGGACAGAGACATTGAACCCTTGATACAAGCCACGCAGACCATCAGACTTGGTAATTTTGACTAAACAGTCCCCGAGACCAGAGAATTCTCTGTCTGCACCAGCTTTGCCGACATCAGCTGCCAAACGGGTTCTTGCAAAATCCAAGGGGTAGACAAAGCAGAGGGAAGTGGCTCCAGCTGCACCACCAGAAGCCAGGTTGCCAGCAAAATATCTCCAGAACTGAGTGTGCTTGTCTACTCCTCCTAGGAACACCTGCTTATACTTATCCTTGAAGGCAAAGTTGAGAGCTTGGGTCGGGAAGTATCTGATGACATTTGCCAAATTTCCTCGCCAGAAGGACAGCACTCCTTGTTCCTTTGGGATGCGCACTACACAATCGATGATACCCTTGTACTGCTTATCAGCAGCAATTTGCTTACTTGCATGTTGCACCTGTGAATAAAAACATGCATTTCATAGAATCACAGAATGGCTCATGTTGGAAATGATCCTAAAGACCCTCTGGCTCCAACCCCTCAGCAATGGGCAGCACTGCTCTCCAATATGCTTTTGGCTCTATGCCTCAGCCTGCCCTCACTGCAACTGGGCCTGAGTCTGCTCTCAGCATTATGCAGAGAGCTGGTGGCCTGACGGCCTACAGAGATAAGGCCATCACAGCAGTAAGCCTGCTGTAATAGAAAAAACTCAATGCTCTGGGTCACTGTGAGCCTTAAGACTACGACTTATTGTTTGTTTGTAACTTGGTATAGACAAAACGCTGAACAAACTCAGAAATTAAAACCTTATCTTACACACAGACAAAAGGGGTTGCATACAGAGCCTCCAGATAAGATTGAACTGCACACAGAAGATTATCTAGCCCAAAACAACCCTAAGAACTAGCGAAGCTCTGCACAACCCTAAGAACCAGCGAAAAGTCCAAAACGCCTCTCCAGCT